TAGAGACGACGATTTATTTCTACAGAACGATAGGGAGCGCATTGTGAATCAAAATTTCTGATACGACGTCCCGTGTTCCTCTGATCCTGCCCGTATCCCTTCGAGGGTGAAACTTTTCGTTCAGACCACCGAGTCCCGAGGCCTCGTGATGGACTCCATCGTGCCACCTGCTGGTTCCATCACACCTAAGCTAAAAGTAACTTTTCGACTCAGTTCCCTTACAAGAGGAAAGAGTAATTTCGAGTTGACTTTATTACTTCTGAACGAAAGTGAAAAGGAGAAACAGCGAGAGGTGACAGCTATCATTTGAGCGAGTCAAATTTTACTATTAAACTGGGACTGGTCAGAAATAGATGAAAGATAGATAGTTTGTTAAACTGTATTCTAACTTCCTAGGTAGTTTAATATTATCGAGGTATTTGAATATTAAACGAGAAGAATTTGAAACAGTACAGTTATGAGATACGTAACTGCAGCCGAAACGTTTATATTAATTGGACAATGTTTAATAACGAGAAGGTGATACCTGTAAATAATGACAATTAATTCCTCGAAGAGTAGTATTCATAACCGAGTAACGATAACAACGAATCGCGTGGCAGATATCGAAAACAATTCTTACACCCAATGAATATTGCAAACCGTTATTAATTATAAATAACAGATATCAAGGTGCGAAATAATTCGTAACGCTGCAAACTTTGTAATAAATTGGCACCCCCCGAGAAATTGAATCCATTGTAAATATTTAAACATCCGTCAAATATTAATGTTTGCCCACGACATAAGCGGCTAATTACTCCGCGAAAATATTCGTTAATTGCGTCGTGTAATAACCGCGTTCCGCGAAGCACTGTGAATATTTATTTCGTGAAATAATTAGGCAAATAAAACACTCGCCATTGCCTTAAAAAAACATTATTCTTAGAATATAGTTTAAAATACACAAGCGTAAATGTAAAATCAATTTATCTTTCCTCATTGGATGATTGAAAGTTCTCCTTTAATGGAATAGACATTCGTCATGCGAGCATTACCAACAAAATTCGAATAAAATTCCAGCAAACTCCGCAACGAGATAAAGAGCGGTTCCGCGAGTGAAAGGGTTCGGGGGAAAACGCACCAGGCACGAGTTACGCGATTCTTATTGGTAAACCTCTCGGAAACAATTGAGCATCTACGCAAACGACCGAGGGTGGCACTAAACGTGGTTACACCGTTAGTGAAGCGATTTACACGGAACGAAACGACGTAGAAAACATTTTCCACCATAAAACACCTGCGCGGCTCCTTCGAATCCAATCTCTCATTGTAGACAATGGGACGATAATAGATTCGAAACTGATACAGTTCAACCAGGTAGCGTGGATCTAATAACGATCGCGGAGGATCATGAACAGTAGCAGAGAAAATAGTCGGCTGGGAATTTCGTGTGACGCGTAACAGCGATATCGATTTCCCGGCTAGCTGGAAAAGCCCCAGCGAATGACCGTGTCCCGAGCGTGACCAAAATTGAAATGATCTGCTTATACGAACGATAAGCAAATCGAAGTGGCGAGAGTAAACGACTGGCGAGCGACGTTAATTGGAAACAAGTTATCGCCATTATTTTTTTCACCCTCCTGAAAGCGATTGCCGCGCGCAATCCAATATTATTCTTGTACGCAACTTTTTTTTATCGAACATCATTTGTTGTACACTTTTGGAAGCTAGTCGTAATCTCAACAAAAGCAATTAATGAAAAAATAGGTACATAATGCTGAAATTTACGTTTTATAAGAGCGGTATTTATTACGTTTGTATTTTAAATGTTGAATTCGGTCTGAGTTATTAATGTTCGTAAATTAAGTTGGAGTTTACATAGTCACCCCACCCTACGCACTACACAAAACTACCCCTTTGGTACTCTATTTACATTCATTCCACTTTTCAGTATATCTTTCTCCATAACAAAAATATATCCACCCCCGGTATACATGTTATTATTATTATTTTTCACACAACAGCGCCCACGGTTGATTTGACGGCGCTCGCGAGGAAGAAGCGAGAATAGAAATGGTAGCAATTAAAATACACCTGTCGTACGAACTCTCGTTCCTCCATTGTTTTGAAAAACAAGTTTCGGATGTAACAGATAGACGTACGCATTGTTATTAAATCTGCAGCGAAAACAGTTGGTCGCCGGGGGCCGTTTAAATAACATGCTGTTTAAATAGCAGAAAAAGCGTCCGATATTTTTCTTCGAAGCACCGACGGAAATTGGACGCGTAAATTTACGGTGGGATTGAATGTTTCGAAAAACGCGAAAACGATTTGCAAAATAACGAGGTGTGCATGAACCGTTGTAACGTTTCTTTATAATTATTTGTATTTTCGTTCGCGTTACACGTGGGAAATTCTGCAAAATTTAAGACCCGGGGGCGGAAACCAACCGGTGCTCTCTATTGTTACAATGGTTCTGCTAATTGCCAAGGATCCGCTGCGTTTTCGTTACAGAAGCCATGCACTCTTGCTTTAAAATATTCGAAAACGCGTTTTCTTAATTAGACCGTTTATATTAATGAACAACCGATTCATTCTCATTAATTTTCTGAATTGTCCTCAATCTTGTATTTCTGCATTTCTTCTAAAATGAACTAAAAGTTAATGAAATCATACCACTCGAGAATGAATTCCAGATACTGTACGTAAACAAAATAAGATTAAGTATTTTTATTAATAAAAAATAACATGCATTGCTTCCTTTTATCAACCCCTCAATATAAACAAGATTGTTAATTAAGTAATATATTAACGAAAATGATACGTCTAACAAGCTATTTTTCATATGAAAATACATGCATCTGTGCGCGCATAGTGTATAATAATAATAAACCGTATTTACATTCGCTAAATATGAAATTACGTTGCGTAGCGAGTACGTTTCTCCTATCTCCTCTCGAAATACACGCGTGTTCCAGTTTCCCCATTGTTATCATGCGTTAAGTTCAAACGATGCACACAACGTGGAAGCGGGCGGCCGCGTAATCGCGTTTTACAAGTTTATTCGAATTGCGAGACGCAGGACAATTTTTCCCAAAACCTTTGAGACCCTCGGTACGGTATCGAACGAGAGAGAGGGGAATAAATTTCCTCCGCGCTTTGAAGCGTGTGTCGCAACGGTGACACGAACCAGAAACATTGTGGAAACCGAGAAATGAAACTGGCGGGTGCTTAAAAATTCTGTAATTTCAACCGCCCTCGTCGGGCTAACCGAGTTTGGGAACAAATGAAAGGAAAACGGCCAAGAAAGAAAAACGCGCGGCTCGTTATGAAATTTTTGCGAGACCCAGGAAAAAGGGATTTCTGATTTTACCAAAAAAAAAAAAAAAAGAAGAATGTTTGCATACTCGCGTGCCGAATTCAATGTCGACGAAGCATTTCTCGGCGTTCGCGATTTTAAACGGCCACCGAATGCTGCGATAAATTTGCATTCGTTAAATTCGTGCTTCGCGTCTCGAAGTTTGCAAATTTAATCATGTGGGCTCTTATTTGAAAACGGTGGTCGAATATCTCGGGAACTATTCGTTCCATGGTGGATATTTTCACTGAAAATTAAAAAATCCAAAAGGACCCCCAGAAAAACCCTGTATAATCATCGAGTCGAAAATTCGATTTATAGTTACAGCAATGAATTAATTAAAATAAACATATCAAACAGTTCCTGTTTAGAAATCTAGGAGCATAGAATGAATTTCGATTAAATTCAGGAAATATTCTCTTTTTTCTTTCGGAATGAAGAAACGCAGATAAGCACCGTAATTGGAGGACTTTTACGGCCATACCATCCGTACGTAAATAGTCCAATCGAAGATTTGACACGGCCAGAGGGCAGAGAGGGAATCAACCCGAACGCAAACTGCGGCAATTAACCGAACCGCAGCTGCGCGAGAACTTTGGTAACGGATCGCGATGGCGATTAATAACCTGTATTAATTAGAGTGAAACTGGTCCCGTATAATTCTTAAGACGGTAAAATCTCGCGGTGCGCCAAGTCGCGTCTTCGACCACGCATTACTCCACGTCGAACGAACTCGAACGCCCCCGCGGTAAAACGCTATTGTTTGCCGGATCACTGGGATGTCGGGTATATAATTAATCGCGCTTGTCCGTTCCCCGTATGTACATCCGAGTCGTCAATGATCCGTCGATGGCATTAACGTCTAAACACAGTCGTTATACTGCTTATTGACGAGCCATTGTTGCTAATCCCGATCAACCGTGAAACAGTAACCGTGTTCGCAGTGTTTCCCCATTACTTCCTTCGTGATGTGACTACAAATGCTCTCTGTAATTAGCTACCGACAGGAGTTAAATATTTTAGCGAGCTTACATTCTGCAATCATTGTTCCTTATGCATTTCAAAGATATCAAAGTGACCACCTGGAGTAGAAGAATACAACTACTACTTTCCATTAACTCTTCAATACATTTTGCCAATGCATGCAAAAATACCATATTCACATGAAAACAATGGTTTTAAATGAAATAAAATTTGAATCGCCATCAGGAATATCGTGCAAGGTTTACACAACACTAAATTATTTAGTTTTCGATACACCAGGCATAACGATATTCCCTCCATTTGGTACCCTTATAAATATTTATTAAAATTCCCAATCGTATGAGTTGAGCCGTCACCCATTGATGGATGATGTGACGTTCGAAGCGTTGAAATAAAAAATAACGCGTTCGAGGCGGAAACGTCCTTCATCGAAGTTTCAATTTACCGACTTAACCGGCATATTAATTCAGGAAGTATATTCTACAGACATTTTTCATACGAGTATAAAATCCGCAGTCTATTGATTTACATATATAGCCAGTGGTTAGCGTTGTTACCAACTGAGGATCAACTACGAAATTTTGCAGATCATATATTTAAAATTACGATGTCATGATCACAAAAACCGTCACTTTCCAATTCTGCCCCGTGCTAACTACCTTACGTTTGTTTTCAGAATCTACGAAAACGGACCATGGAATGCAACAAAGGAGATCGTAACACCGAACAACGAGACATGCTACGTGATCGAGAAACTTCAACCATTCACCGTCTACAGCTTCCGCGTGTCAGCTGTGAACGCTATGGGACGCAGCAGGCCCAGTCAGCAGTCATACTACATCGTGACTCTTCGTGAACGTATGTTTTTCCAGATGCAATTACCGTTATTTCCCTTATCGCGCGTCGGTGCCGGATTTCGATTGGTTACGAGCCTCGGCTGAGCTGCGATAGCGCATCCCTCCAACGGTTCCATTCGAGGCTTCTACCGTCGAGCTTTATAGGAAACCTATACGTTCTACCTTCAATGGCTGCCCATGAGAATAAATTCGACGGGCGTTCATCGAGCCTTTAACGAACGCTCCGTTTTCAACTTGGTTTCTTTTTACGTTTGCATTTGTCGTTTGGTGCTTTCTAAATTAATTGCTTTTCATATTTATTGAGCAACGCGAGTCACAAAGTAATTCGGTTGTGGGTTACCGTAACAGGGCATGGGCCAGAAATTGGCAGAATTTTATTCTGACACCGTGTAGCGATTTATTTGTCAGCGTTCTTTACTGGAACAGTTACAGAAATAAGCTTTGTTTGCTATGACCTCTATTTTTATTTTATACTAATTTATAAATTTATATTATCCGCGCCTCCCATACCCAAGAATAAGGAGTCAAACGAGAACACGAAACGTAGGGTACGGGATTGGTCGCGTATGTAAAGCGGTCGACTGTGGATCCGAGGATCGTGGGTTCGAATCCCCGTGCCTTAATTTTCGTTTAGACTCCTAGAAATGGAGCAACCTCCCACAAACTATCCCTATGACAACCGTTCGTCGCTTTTAAACTCGTGGCTCGCGAATCTGTGTCGGGACATCTCGAAAGATCGCACGGACAGATCCACAGGGAACCCATAACTCCCCCCAAAAAGGGCCCAATGGGCGCTTCGAGTCACGACGAATAGAACACCCAGAGGGATGATCCAACCGTATAATCGGGTCAGAGGTGTCCAGCGGAACGAGACCCTCAGGGACGATCTTCAGGGTCGCGAAACCAGACGCTCCGACATCCAGGAAAAAGAACGCGAACGCGAGTAGCAAATCCACTCGTGGGCATATTCAATCCAACAACCTTAATCATTATTAGACTGCGGATCTTTATGCAAAATAAAATATTCGCGAACGTCCGTCTAAAAATTGAACCTAAATAGGAATTTATTTTATTCTGCAAATGTTATAACATGAACTTTACTTTCAATCTTTTTTATATTCTTGCATACTGTTTGCATTTTGCAGTTTCTTGCACATTCAAATTTTCTATAAATGCATAAAGATCCGCAGTCTAATCATTGCCAACCAATATGTGAGACATCTGTAAACGGTGACACAATCCTTGATAGTTCAAACAATGTAATCTCATTTAACTCGTGTGACATTTTCAAATTGAACCTATCGAGTGTTCAGAGAAAAGTCATGTTACTTTTACGAAACGTTCCACAATTTTCCCAATTTTCCCAATTCCCGAATTACCGAACTTCCCTTTGTTAGAATCGTCCCTCGCTATTCGAGACGAAAAATGTGCGAATAATTGGAAAATTCACCTTATTCCTCGGCGATTGTCGCTCAAGAGTTTGCAGGCAGCTGAAGCGGCGCTAATTGCTGCATAGGAAGGGAGCAATGCACAAGCCTTAACTCGAGCGGTCCGGCTCGCTTTTGCTGCAAAGGACTACTTTCGCAGCCTCCGTTTGTCTTTCTAGCTCGGGAAATAGGTTGAGCAGGCCACGCGCTACCTAAAGCCCTATAAATTCTGTCAACGCCGCCGGGATTGGCCGACGCTCGCTGTATACCTACCCACGCTCGACAAACTTTGCGCCGCGAAGACGACTACGACACAGATGGCGACAAAGACGCCCACCCACGGGATCGGTACGGATCCGACCTGGATTCCCATGCGTATCGCGACCGGCAATTACCCGAGGGTACCGGAAATTTGTCACATTCTAACCGCTTTCAGCCCCTTAAATTTTATTACAAAACACTGACACAGAAAAACTTGTACATTCGTTTACGGACCGTAAGTGTGGTCACGGTGATGTATTGCGGTGGATAATAACCGACACGTAAATTAGAATTAATACAATAAAGAAATATACGGTGACCACGCAGAGAGAAGAACGCGGTTGGGTTTAAGAAAATGAGGTACCCTCCAATCGAGGTGATTTTATTATCATAGATAGCCATTGATCCGTCGATTACAACGGTGATCAGGGGTTACTTCAGAGGTCAAAAATTGAAACGGTTCAAAAAGTAGGTTTTTGCACCGATCTCGGTGGGTACATCATTTTCAATTTTTTTTTTACGTGGAGGAACATCATAGATCCAAGCCCGAAATCTACTGTCTGAGTAGGTTTGGGGTAGTTTTTGGTGGATGCGGTAATATTGAATTTCTTTCATCTTGGAAAGAAGAAGTTGGAAATGACGTATTCACTGAGATCGGTGCAAAAAACCATTTGTTGGACCATTTCAGTTTTTGACCCCTAGGAGGGAGGGGAGTTAAGGGTCAAGATGACAGCCATTGTAATAGCCAGGTCAAAGGTTATCTATGACAAAAAAATCAACCCGATTGGAGGGTACCTCATTTTCTTAAGCTCAACCCACAAAACTAATAACAATAAGACTGATCTACTATTGAAAGAGTCCCAAACTTGCACTTCCTGTCAGTGTTTAACATTTTACCACTTTTCTAATAATTTTCGGATATTTTGAATAACATTACAAGAAGACAGTTTTAAACCGTTTAACGTAAACATCTTTAACGTCAACGTTTATAGAAACGATCCCTCGATTTACGGGGTATTTTTGTAACATTGACTCTTAACCAATCTGTGCTACGAAGACATCAATAAAAACACCACATCGTGTCCCGACCTAGATTCATCTGCGTACCGCGACGTCAATTAACGCGTTACTCGGAAATAGCTCGCGAATGAGATTACCTACGAGAGATTTCCGCGAGTGAATATTTGATGGGAGCGAAGGAGGGGCTAGTTTAGTTTAGTATACATAGAATTTGTTAGCCGGCGTTCTTACCAGCCAGGTGTGTTTCGAGACAATCAGGAAGTCGTGAAAAATGAGGGCGAGATTTCCGCCGACCTGACGGTGGACAGCTCGCGGAGGGAACGACGGTTTTAGTATACATGGAATTTGTTACGGTTCCTGGGCTTCCCTCGCGGCAACAGGACGAGATTCGGTTGCTGTCTGAAGGGGTTTCCTTGTATCTGGAGCGAAAAAATCGATTTACCCTTTGTTGAGTGTGTATTCCTTGATGTTTGATTTAAAAGTTGCACTAACTGGTTGCACACACTTGGTTGCTTGGTCCGTCGCAATAACGATGAGACGTCGAGGCAGAAATAATACACAATTTGAAATTAATTTAAAATTAATTAATCTAATTTATTTTCAACTGCCGTTAGCACTTCGTCGTGATTTACAAATAAAGAAACGTTTGTTACCCTCTAATTCGATTCCAAGTGAGAAATACATTTTGCACGGATATTACATTCGACGATTCATACCCTCATTGTCTGCTCTGTCAGAATGTAAACGCTACAAATACACGCAAATGATTAATATCGCGTAACGTCGTGCGTATTATTAATATTCCTGTGTTATTAACGCGGAAAACGCGAATTGGACGCATTGTTGGAACGATCCAGCATCGCGATTTGCGTTCAAAAATTCGCGCGATTTTACTGGACGTCGTGAGAAGACCCATTTGACCTCGACAATAATATGTTAATCATTAATGTTACATTCTCGCGCTAACGATCACCTAAACACTCGAATTAATTAATCAGCGCCTCCGTATATATCGCGTTACATCGTAGGTACCGGATAATTGATTGATATCGTATTGCTGGATTAATTCGGCGCTGCATGAATAACTCCGTAAAAAAAATATACGTATATATTGTCAAAACGCGATTCCATCGCGTTACTTGGTTACGTTGGAACAACGAAAAACACTCGAAACAAGCCGTCCAATTATCTCATGAAGTTACCCCGATACGAAATGTTATTTCATGCAAAACTCGAATTTTAAGGGGCGAGTTTGTTAAAAGAAAAAGTTTCATTCCGCTACACACACCGTTCCGTTTCATTCCGTACACTATTTTTTTTTTTTTTTTTTTTTACTAGAGTTTTCACTCGTCAATATTTTGTTACACGTAAGCGTACACGTTTTCCATGAACATTCGCGATGATAGCATCGATGTGTATTCGATTTGATGTTGGGTGGGAACTTCGTTATATGTATTTTTCAATAAAAAATGTGTAAGGAAATCGGTTATTTGTTTGAGGAACTTACATTTGTCAAGCAATTGTTTCGCGTTTGAACATTATATGCACGTACCAATTTACATATTAGAATGTTAATAAGCCAATATTGATAATAAACTCACTGTTCAAACTGTGTAATTATCGAGTCGTTGAATGCCATTACCACAGTCAAACCGAATTTGTATTACTACTAGGACTGTATCTGTTTATTTGGCTGGTCACGAATCTCTATTATGGTACAATTTTTCATTAGCATACGATAGCACGGGTGCGCCGGAATTGAATGTAGCAACACAGCCTTGATGCGTCATTGGAAATCACCCTCCTTGTTGAAAAACATACTCGGCCAGATATGGGTCCAAAATTTGATTCCAATAACAGATGACACGTAAAACCAACGTACAGCAACGTACTTTCAATATTCTTTATCTTTGCATTGAACAGTACCTTCGACTAACCATGTTTACTCTTTGGAAACCAGATTAATAAACATTGTTTTCATACCACTGTGACATATATTGATATCAATATTTCTAAATGTTTATAGACTTCTCGATTAGAAAATCTACAACATTCGTACCTAGCAAGAAATCAACAGGCAGTGCGTAACCTGACATTATGAATCATGCAGCGACGCGTCCAGGATCGTTCACGCTAACGCGCCGACCATACAGCCCGAATTAATCGCGCACAGTCCACAAAACAAGCGTCGAATCGAACGGGAAAAAATCCCGAACGCGTTTGACTCCCGGCCAAATGCGGGCGTGAATGGTCCCGATTCGAAATCTCTGGCGTGTTCTCGGTCGTCGCCGGA